CTGCTTTCACCCTCCTGCCCGCCGAGGGTCCCCCGTCCCGGACGGGGAAGGGTCCCCGGGCATCGGGATCCCCCACTGCCGGGCAGAGCATCCTGTTGGTACCCGGCGCGGGGCAAGCGCTGCCCAGCGTCCAGCTCCAGGCGGTGGCGGGGACCCCGGCGGGGGCCAGCGTCATCGTCCTGAGAGGTGGCGTTGGTGGTGTCCTCCCGCCGCGGGGACCGCAGGCCCCCGAGGTCACTGGCGTCCAGCTGCAGGCGGCCGAGGTGACCAACGTCCAGCTCCAAGCCCTGCCGCAGCCCTTGGATGTCACCAACATCCAGCTCCAAGCTGCCGAGGTGACCAACGTCCAGCTCCAAGCCCTGCCGCAGCCCTTGGATGTCACCAACATCCAGCTCCAAGCCGGTGACGTGACAAATGTCCAGCTGCAAGCCCTGCCACAGCCCTCCAAGGTAGCCAACATCCAGCTCCATGCTCTGCCACAACCCTCGGACGTCACCAACATCCAGCTCCAAGCTCTGCCACAACCCTCGGATGTCACCAACATCCAACTGCAGGCCGCAGAGGTGACAAATGTCCAGCTGCAAGCCCTGCCACAACCCTTGGATGTCACCAACATCCAGCTACGAGCCCTGCCACAACCCTCTGAGGTCACCAACATCCAGCTGCAGGCCACTGAGGTGACAAATGTCCAGCTCCAAGCCCTGCCACAATCCTCCAAGGTGACCAACATCCAGCTCCAAGCCCTGCCACAACCCTTGGATGTCACCAACATCCAGCTGCAGGCCACTGAGGTCACAAATGTCCAGCTCCAAGCCCTGCCACAGCCCTCTGAGATCACCAACATCCAGCTCCAAGCCCTGCCACAGCCCTCAGAGCTGCCCGGCATCCATCTCCAGGCCACGGAGGTGACAGATGTCCATCTCCAGGCCACGGAGGTGACAGATGTCCATCTCCAGGCCACGGAGGTGCCCAGCGTCCATCTCCAGGCCACGGAGGTACCCAACGTCCAGCTGCAGACTACCAAGGTACCCGACATCCATCTCCAAGCCACAGAGGTGTCCAATGTCCCTCTCCAAGCCGCTGAGGTCCCCAGTGTCCCTCTCCAAACCACGGAGGTCCCCAGTGTCCATCTCGAGGCCACAGAGGTGCCTGACATTCATCTCCCGGCTACGGAGTTGCCCAGCATCCATCTCCAAGCCACAGAGGTGCCCAACATCCACCTACAGGCCATGGAGGTGGCCAACATCCAGCTGCAGACCACAGAGGTGCCCAATGTCCATCTTGACACCAGTGAGGTGCCCGATGTCCATCTCGAAACCACTGAGGTACCCGATGTCCATCTTGAAGCCACAGAGGTGCCCGGTGTCCATCTCCAGACCACGAAGGTGACCAATGTCCACCTGCAGGCCACTGAGGTGACCAACGTCCATCACCAAACCATGGAGGTGCCCAGTGTCCATCTCCAGGCCGCAGAGGTGCCCAGCGTCCATGTCCAGGATGCAGAGGTAACCACTGTCCAGCTGCAAGCCACTGAGGTGCCCAGCATCCATCCCCAAACCACGGAGGTGACAAATGTCCATCTCCAGGCTGCAGAGGTGCCCAGTGTGTGTCACCAAACCACTGAGGTGCCCAGTGTCCATCTCCAAGTCACAGAGGTGCCCAGCGTCCATCTCCAGACCACGGAGATGACCAATGTCCATCTCCAAGACACCGAGGTGTCCAGTGTCCATCACCAAATGATGGAGGTGCCCAACATCCATCTCAAGATCACGGAGGTGCCCAACATCCAACTGAAGACAATGGAGGTGACAAATGTCCATCTCCAGGCCACTGAGGTGCCCAGTGCCTGTCACCAAATGTTGGAGGTGCCCAGCGTCCAACTCAAGACCACAGAGGGGCCTAACATGCATCTCAAGACCACAGAGGAGGTGCCCAACATCCAACTCAAGACCGTGGAGGTGCCCAACGTCCAACTCAAGACCGTGGAGGTACCCAACATCCAACTCAAGACCGTGGAGGTACCCAACGTCCAACTCAAGCCCACGGAGGTGACCAATGTCCATCTCCAGGCCGCAGAGGTGCCCAACGTCCAGCCGCAGCCCCCCGAGGTTCTTGTGGCGGGGGGGGGCCCGTCCCCCTCCCCGTCCCCGCAGCTGGCGGTGGTGGGGGCAGCCGGGGGGGTGCCCCCCCTACTGCTGCTACGGGGGGGGGGGGGGGG